CTACTTTGCTGTTCCTTTTTAAATTTTTATTATTTAATCTTTTGTGTTTTTATTTCAGTGGTTTTTCTGAAGGATGAATGGCAAAACTTCCTGCTCACTCCCCAGTCTTTATTTAAGGATCTGCAAATAGATAGATAGACAGCGTCTTAGTCTTTGTACACATTTTGGATGTGCACAATTACGTATTCTGGAATTCCCATTCTTTGCAATGTTATCAGTAATTTTTTAATAATCCATACATTTGCGTGCCTTTGCAGAGCTAGTGATACGCAGGCAAAGCCTTTTGTGGTACTCTGTGCTTGTAGTCAAGATCCACCTAACGTAACGATACCCCTCATTTTCCATCTTTTTCTGAACCTAACTTGAAGTTTCAGCAGTTCTCTGTTGATATACTCCTGTAACCATTTTTTTTAATCTCCAGTAAAATTTAAATTGCGAATGATGTTAATGATGTTGGTCAAGTATTTCCACATTCTGTTGTAATGTCTTTGTTTTGAACAAACCATAGGAAGATATCAAAATAAAAATGCGTGGGCCTTTGACTCAGTGAGAAAACTGCTATGTGTAGTGTGGTAAAGACAGCAAAATACATAGATAATTTAAACACTAAGATCTTTTTACAAAATGTCCTTGCACCGATAGGCAGTAAGAGGGGCCGCGCTGAGTTCCGACGGGTGGCATTCTTCTAGGGCTTCCCAGACTCGGGCCTTTGCTGGTTGTACATGTATATCTTGTAACGTGCTCTTTTCTATGTAGCACAATTATAGAAAAAAATCTGCAGATCTGTCCGGACTTTTAATTTCTGTTTTAAAATGACTTAATGCATAAAAGATGAGCAGTGCATCTAGAATCGTTCTTAGCTAATCATCTGAATATAGGCTTGAAGTCTCACTTGCATTTATTTTCATTTTAGTTCCTTTTCAAAGGTACCCCACCTGGCAGGAACAGAACAAAATTTATTGCTTGCCAAGAAAATCCAAACGCAATGGAAGGAATTTGGACTAGACTCAGTCAAGTTGGTTCCTTATGATGTTCTCTTATCTTACCCTAATGAGACAAATGCCAACTATATCGCCATTGTGGATGAACATGGGAATGAGGTAATGTAGAATTTTTGTTGTTCTCCTATCTTGCCCTAATGGAATAAATGTCCATTATGTATCAATTGCGGATAACATAGAGTTGAGCCAATATGGAATTATTTTCACATGGAAAGGGGTTCAAAAGTTTGTGGAAAAATGAGATGTAAAATATAATGGAATTTCCCACAAACTTAATGCAGCTCCCTTGTATTTGTCATCTTTTTTTTGTCATAAGTCACTAGAAAGGTCACTTGATGACACAGTGGCTAAGCAGTTGTCTGGCAACCAAAAGATTGGCAGTTTGAACCTGCTAGCTACTCTGAGGGTGATAGATATAGCAGTCTACTTTCATAAAGGTTACAACCATGGAAACTCCATGAGGCAGCCCGACTGCCCTATATTGTCACTATGAGTCAAAATTCATTCTATGGCAACTTTCCTAATGTAGGACCAACTATAGACAGTGATTTGTTAATATGGAATGAAATCATATTTTTCTTAAGTTAATAACTGGAAACCCGGTTATTTAGTACCTATAGAAAGGCGGGCTTTCTACTTGCATAAAGAGTTACAATCTCAGAAACTCACAGAGGCAGTTCGCTCCTGCTTACAGGGTCA